TACGGACGACAGACACTGATGCATGGACGTACAGACACTGATGCACGGACATTCAGACACTGATCTACGGACGTACAGACACTGAACCCCGGCGACAGACACTGATGCACGGACGTACAGGCACTGATCCACGGACGTACAGACACTGATCTACGGACGTACAGACACTGATCCACGGACGTACAGACACTGATGCAAGGACGACAGATACTGCTCCACCGACGAATGATACAGATCCTCGGACGTCAGTTGTTTGAAATGATGACTATCCCGACAAAACTGTATAATATAACTTTCAGCATGATCTGATAAACAGGGAAGCCTTTGTCAACAGTTTGCTAGCTGGGTGCAAAAATACAATTTATTATAATTCCAATTTTATCACGAAACCCGTTTTTTATTATAACAAACAAGAACAGCAATGCGATACAATCAAGAAACACAGACAAATTAGACTTTCATCGTGCCAGGCTTTCGTAACTATCTAAACAAAATATTTGAGTGTCGAGAATCAAGCTAGGATTAGCAGTGCTAAATAACGAAAGCCTGACAACTGAACCTTCACTTAGTTATTTATAACAAACAGATTTTGACGTATACCATCGCTCAACAGGAGAAGCAGATCGGCCGATCGAACTCTTACCATTCTATGTCGGAACTCCAACTCTCTTACATAAATGAATTTTTAAGCCCGCTCTTATGTGTGTCTGACATGCTTTACCATTAACGTTTGGCCGTTTTCAAGGTCCATGATTGATGCAATCGACACAAGTACATATCACAGCTGTAACAGAGCGGCAATAACGAGTGAAATCTGACACAGAAATGGACACCAGTCAGCTGTCACAATGCTAATTATTGCGTTTGCATTTCTTATTTGATCAGTAGCTCGTTGAATTAACAAAAAGTACAGCACAATATTTAGCTGGAATAGCATGGCCAACCGGTGCTTTGTATTTCCGAGCAAAGCATGGCCAACGACTCAACTACAACGGCCTTAACAGCATGCGTTATTCCGCCCCAAGGATAATACATTTCACCGTTATTGCCATCCTATTGTCTGAACATTAAAACTATCTGCACAAAACCTTTGTACAACGACGGGAGAATTACAACGCAGACTTTCGTACCTCAGCGAGTCTCGTGTGATCCGGTTTTTATGTCTGCGCAATGTAGCGAAAACATGCTTAGTTTGTATACTAATGGTGTGTAAACATGTTTATTCAATATGAAATCAGAATTCAAAAATTAAAAACTACAATACATCTCTGACATTTGTGCATCGTTAACCTTCTGCTTCAGAGCACCCATTTTACTCTTGTATAAAAGAGGTGTGTATTGTTTTTATTTAGCGTCAGTGCTTAGTCGTTCATAACAAAGAGAAAACAATTTTATAAAACGTGTTTTTTTACGATTATTCAATCGCTGCCTACCAGAGCTTTACAACCTCTTTGAATAATGTTGACGTGGATGCTTCGATACTGTGTTCAAATGAAAACCATGTGAATATTGTCAGCTTGAAGTCATTCCGTCTTTATCGTGATGAGGCTGAACGAGCTCTGAAGTGTAGTAGTGTTACGACGAACACCATACTCTTACAGTCAATAAAAATATAAATATAAATCAAGTTCTTTACTGATGGGATATATTCCTTCACAAAAGGATTTTTATTCAATATTTTCACAATAACCAGGATATTTACTATTTGACAATGAAAAAACCAATACCTATTTGCAGGATTTTAACTCGAACTATTTGCAGTTTAAATAACGTGAACTCAATATATTTACAATTGCAGAATGTATTATCAATATATGTATATATATATTTCGGGATTTACTCAATTTTATTTTTACTTTTTATTGGATTTAAACTCTTTTACGCACTTTGGTTGGTATTTGTATGAGTATACTCTCACATTTACTTTTTGCCAGATTGATTTGTAATCAATATAGATCAATTTGAATTTTTTTTATATTTAAAGTCAACCTTTTTTTTAGATTTGGGGGTTTGTGATACACTGTATTGACAATTCACGGGATTTGATCCAAGCATTTGTACAATGTGCGGAATTCTATCTCAAATTTTCACAATTTGCAGGATTTCTGGTAATAATATATACGCCCGAATTTTACTCAATATTTGACTTGATCATTTAGGGAAAGACTATTCATATTTTGTATTTGATAGTTTAAAATGTTATTGTTATGAACCGTACAAATTCTTATAATATTTTTGGTAAATTAACGAAACTTTAAAATCATGTATCAGTTTTAAGAATGGTCCAGGCGTGACAAATAGTATCAGACATGTATCCTGTCATGGGGCCTCCGTGTCTATACTGGTACCTGATTCACCTGGACGCTTACAGTAAATGTTTATATTTTGAAAAATAATGGCTATCTTTAAATCTATTAACACCTATTCTCAGTATTGTATCCTTGTCATTCTGCTTCCACCTTTTACATCAATTTCTAGTTGTTTGCGAAGCATTCATTGTCTGTCTATGTTGTTCTGTTGCGCTGTTTTGAAGACTCAACTGACAATACAGGCACAATTTGAAACACAATAAACCCCGCTAAACCGGAATGCCAGTTGTCCGGATAAATGGAGTATGGAATAACGAGGTTTAATTGTGGCCATGTGTCATGTGATCAAGGAAAATCAATACTCTACATACATACTCGCATAGGGCATTACGTGGATGATACAATGTCGGTCTCGTGCACTGGACCAAAGAACATTTATACTCGTTTTTTTAAGAATTATTTAATGTGAAACCATTGTTTTTTAGGAACCTGCCTTGTATTTTGTAACTAGCCACGCAAATAAACTATTTTCCTATCTACTCTCTTCTTATTTCTGTATTGGTATTCGGTCGGAAGTAATTTTCATGCTTCGCTGTGTCACAGATATTGAACATTTAGATTATAGAAGGTGTATGTCAAACTGTAACTCACCTTGATAAGTTTACTTCTAACTGTTGACGATGTTTTTTTAAAGTTATATAGTACAAGTGAGGACCTTTAAGCACTTAAGTCATCTAGGAATCTTCAAAACATAAATACAGTGTGCTCACTTTAATTTCCTTCTCATTCAATTTATTAACGGGGTATTCTCTTCCACTGTAAGCGGTGGTAGCGTAGCCTCGTGGTTAAAGCGTGAAGCCCATTTCTGGTGTCCCCCGCCGTGATGTTGCTAGAAAATTGCTAAAGTCGGCGTAAAACGAGACACACTCGCTCACTCCTACATAGGTTACTGTAAGTGTACATTTTCGTTGCGTCATTTTTTTATGATACGTGTATTAATACATTAACATCGATATCGTTATATCAATAATATTAAGTACCGACCTCCTTTTGTAAAAATACGTTTCTGTTGTTTTGTTTTTTTATATTTTTGTTGAGGGGAGAGGGGGCACAAAGAATGTGTTTAGTATAAACGAACAATTGATTCAGCTGAATGTGGTGGTATTATGGTGACAGTAGTATTATATTTGGTATCTTCGCCGACATGTTTCATTGGGCTTCTTTCAAGCTACCTTTACTCTAACACCACGCCCCTCGCCTGGCACGTGCTGCCACAGATTGTTTTCACACATGCGTGATTCTATTCATTTCGTAGTAATTCGCGGAGGTCATCATGTATTTATGACAATAATGGGTTCAGCACTTCGTCATGAATAAATAAGTATGTGTAAATAATGTCAAAAACGGGCGACACATCTCTCGACCACGTTTCTTTTCGTTATCAAATGTGGTGAAAAAACTGGGGCGAAATATATCTTGTAAACTGAATAAACTTATGAAAAGTTGATAACAAGCAATAACATCGATACGAAAGAGTTGATTTTTTTATGTATAAAGACCAGGGCCGACTTGCACAAAGCAATCTTAGCGTTAATATGATCGCAACTCCCATACTTTAACATAGGCTTACAATAGTCGTAGCACTAAGATCGCTTTGTGCAAGTGGGCCCAAGTTTCAGAACACAATCGTAGCGGTGTGACTGACACAGCTGTGTGCTGTATATGGGAGTTACGACGGCCTCACGTTGGTTCGAATCCCAGATTGGTCTTGATTATAATTCGTCTGATTATGCTGAAACTGAAAGGCAACAACTCACTCCCCACGAACAGACATACCCGTGAAGATACGGGTAGGAATAGCTCTTCAGCAACCAAAGGGCGACTGTGATTGCCGGAAGAGGCGACTAACAGGATCGGGTGGTCAGGCTCGCTGACTTGGTTGATGCATGTCATCGTATTCCAATTGCGTAGATCGATGCACATGATGTCAATCACTCGATTATTTACAGACCGCCGTCATATAGTTGGAATATTGCAGAGTTCGGCGTTAAACAACAAACAAAAAAACGTGAAACGTGCTTATGAAGTAGGTTCACGTGACTATCGTTCAAACCATCCCTGTTCACACGAACACAAAGTTCCTCCCTAAGCAGGATACATAACACGCTGATTTAACAGCCTAGTATCTGCACAACCACATCCGACTCTAAGATAAACGCAGGTGTCAGATGATTGTGACAAACATGCCGACTCTGATATTGTAGATATTGTAGAAGAATATAAATGCTTTGACAAATAGATAAGCTACTGCCTCCGTATGTATCGTCGCTAAATCTCTCTCATGACTTCATGACTATAGCGACGGGTAGCCCAGTGGTTAAAGCGTCCGCTCGTCACGCTGAAGACCCAGGTTCGATTCCTCACATGGGTACACTGTGTGAAACGCATGTCTGATGTCCCCCGCCGCGATATTGTTGAATGAAGCTAAAACGGCGTAAAATCATACTCACTCACTAGACAAGTTCATGGTACAACTCACAACGAATAAGGACAACGTTCAGAGCTGAAATAGCGCTTCAAAAGAACTACAGAATCATGTCGTAACACAGCGATGGTCTGTGTACTCTCGGTGCAGTCACATATTCGCTGTAGTTGTGTTTCCTTGCATTGGTATAACAACAGTTTTTTTTATTTATCTTTTATTCAAATAACTTAAAAAATATTTACAGATGTATATACAACTTTAGAGATCATCAAAACACCACAGAGGGCATAAAACGTAGACTGTAATAACAAAAACAGTAGCAAGACGGGTAGGCGAACTACTAACATCCGGGCACTAACGAGCAATAACGGCCTCGTTTATACGTACAAAAACAGTTCGGATAATAGGGGCCAAACATGGGGAAATGACTAGTTCACACTCCACATCGTCATGTAATCTCGGCAACGTAAAAAGACCAAGTGTTCAAAAATAAAAAGAACAAAAACAAATACGTTTGTCTTAGGCGAGATTCTACAGACATTCCCAGGAACAATGTTTGAAAATCATTTACAAACCGTATCACCTGTATTTCAATTTCAGATATTAATATTAAACTGACTGAACTGTTTTTCCATTTAAATTCCATTATGTACAAAAAGGGAAGTCGGAAAATGAATTATTACTTGAAAAATATAATATCTGAATTATCCTACAGTTCGTATATGTAATGGTACTGAGCCTTACAAAGCATTATACATCATGAAGGGTAAGCGATTTACTGATAAGAGCCACAAATGTGAACGTCAATATGATACCAAGCGCGTATATGTTTTCCAATTTATCTGTGTGCTATTCCCATTAACATTCACAGCAGACTTCCTATTATCATACCACCTAACGTGATCTAGCGAGAGTATGGGTTTGACAAATGTGAATTGCTAATTAACCTGGAATCTTTGAAAATCTGATCGCTTTGTTCAATATTTGAGATTCAAAAACCGTTCCGAATTCCTAACTGACACTGACAAATAGAAAAATGAGTCCCTGTGATAGTTGGAAATATTTATTGCTGAACCTTTTAGAAATCTCTTGCCGACCATTACTGACTTTGATATTTGCTATCATTCGGTAAAGAATATTTGCTTTCAACATGAAAACATATCGCATACACACCAATGTGAATATAAGAATTTTATAGACGAAGGTCTATCCGACAGTGGCAACCGGCAACATAAATAAATCATAAAACATTTATCCAGACGTGGTTAAATCGATTAAAACACACTGTCCTTTGTATTTGCTTGGTAGGAATAATGCTTAAATGAGTTAAGAGAAAAAATGTCTTAGTGACACAGGGAATCATTTCATGCCTTAATATTCAAAAATATCTAGAAGTCATAAATTAAAACAAAATAGAATATGAGTTGAAATTTAATTGTGAGTTTTAACGCTAAATGTTTTACAATATCTCAGAAAATATTGCAGATGCACCTTTTAAATAACAAGCGTGAGCATGGTTGATTTGCAAACAAAAGTGAAACGCCGTTAATCGGAACGGTACCGTTTCCATGGAAACCGTGCGGATCAACAGATTCCCCGATTAAGGAATCCTTGTAAAGGAATCGTGTCCTTTCAATATCTATTCCCAACAGTAATCGGGGAAGCAGGGTTTCTGGATTAGCGGTATTTTTCTGTATTAACCGTATTTCCTATATCAAGATCCCGGCCTGTATTAACTTTTCACTTTACTTTTAGACCCTGTGTTTATTTCTTGAGCTCTGAGATGAGTAGGGAAAGCTTAGGTACAAGTAAGGTGTTCTATTAATCACTAACTGTAGCTGACTAGTTCCGTATGGGGGGCCCTGTCCTGACTTCAAACCCGTACCCCTACACTTGGCCCCTTAATAAGGGAAATACGGTATTCCCCATATTCAATCCAGACTCAAAAACGTTTTACATTTTGGTCCTGCGTTGACGAATGGATGACGACTTTTGGTGCTGTGCACAAAATGTACAATTTTGACTCTTGTCATTTGTCATTTTCCCCGTCGTCACAAACGTCGATGGCATCTAGGACATCAGTATCACGGAGTCCGGTGTGACCTCACCGGTCATTTGGGGCGGTAAGCTGAACCGGAGTCTATTGAAAGCCTCTTGAAGGAAAGTCTTTGCGAATTAAGGGGAGACAATTCAAGCGTTTCACTGGGAGTTATCTCCCTTAGTGGTGGCTACTGATTTCAAGATGGCGCCTCAAATCCACTTTTCTCTGGAATGCTCGTCCACACTGTGAGCAGGAGAACGGCTTGTATCCCGTGTGTTTCCGGCTGTGCGTTATCAGGTTGGACGATTGGCTGAATGCTTTTCCACATATCGTACACTTGTGAGGTTTCTCGCCTGAAAGAAAATCAACCAAATCAGAAAACGGCCTTTCTCAAAAGATATGCTAACACACATAAATTCACCATGCGTTACGTCGTATAAAGGGTACAGTTAATGTGTAAAATGTGATTCACGTAGGCAATATATTCAATTACTAATCATTTCAGCCGTTTTACACACTGACTGAAAACTAAAAACTGTCTATTTTCACAGATTGACTAAACGTTATTCAGAAGGACCTTAAAGGATCACAATCGACTAATTATTAGATTTGAAGCCAAAAGATTTAAAACTATTCATTGACTTTCCTTTTAATTTAATCCTATTAGTTTCATCCACTGGGTGATGAAATTAAACGTCAAGATGTTTGGAATTTGTTACCATACTAAAAAACTGGACAGATTTTTCCCTTAATTTGTAAAATAACTGACTATACTGATATAAACGGAACAGTGAAAAATATAGGGAAATCACTGTCAGTACATTTGACAAAGCGCGCATGCAAATTCAACACATGTTAGAAATGTGGAGATGTGATTGTGTGCATTGTTTCCAACGCGTACTTGGTAAATAAAGCTGGTATAAACCCATGATATAACATATCATGTTACCGTATCTAAAACTAAGTGTCACCTTATTCATTTTCATCGCAAATTGCCTCAGTGCAAATGTTAGTCACACTTCACATGGACTGTACGTGTTGACTAAGCTATTAAAGACTTCATGAAATTCAATTGAGAGAGTTGGAGTTTAACAACGTCCCTTTAAACAGTATTTCAGTTATACCGCGCCGTGTGAGCTTACTTAAAGAAGACACCTTATTTTAATACACCAAGGTTGCAGGTTATGAATTCTATCAACTATACATTCCGCGCGTGTCTACTCGTAGTGAGCGAGTTGGTTGAACACCACCGAGCTACAAATACACAGACAAATGTAACGAAAAAATGTTTCTATCATGTTAATAATGAAAATATATCAGTAAAAAACATGAGGTTAAGATCCCCTACAACAGATGTGATATGCCTTTGTTTAAATACATCCTCCTCATTTTCTCTAATAGTATTTAAAAGGTTTTCTATACATTTGGTATTTTGCAGAGTTGAAAAGACGAATCCTGAAATCATTTGATTGTATAATATAATCATAACGATGTTTACAAGCATTACGACCACAGCGGCAACAGCTAAATAACAAAAATCGATACATCCTTATCGTCGTTAATAAAAACCTTTATCTGCATAAATGTTTCTAAGTAGAACTAAGGCTTTCAAATATTCAGTGTCTTCAAAATCGTTGATCACGCAAATGGTTATGTTTGAATTCGAATGATCCTCAACTTTCGTGTTTGTCCCTGACTTAGTGAACACTTTATTTAAGTTTATTGTCGATGGCAACTCCGACACCACTGCAGACGTTAGGATGCCAGTGAACCGGGAAACACGTCTTAACTTATTTTGCAATGCAATTTGTAAAGCCCTTTAAGTGTCTCGTAAATAAAATATCCCATGCGAGTCAGACAGTGCTAGATAAATCTTAGAATATATACTATTCTGTTACAGTTACACCTTTGTATTCGGCTTCTTCTCGTGAGGATTGCTCATTGTCAAATCAGATCAATAAATAAAAACATGAATATGCACAAATGTGCCGTGAATTACATTTTTGTTGAGTTTTAGTTGTAGGCACGTGCGAGAAGTTCATACAATTTTCCATTTCGGTTTTGATGTATAATAAATATTCTAGGTGGTTGGTAGAGATTTGGATTGGTGCCATATTATTAGTGATTTGTGTTGTCTCACTCGTCCCTTGTCTTCTCTTACGATATACGAGGGATGATTGAAAAGTTCCCAGCCTCACATACAAGGAATTTCGTAATAGTTCAATATTTTGTCGTTAAATGATGTCATAGAGGTTTATCCACAAAAAAGCTTAAGTCAATTGAGAAAATTGTTTCGGTGTGACAAGTCAGTAAAATAAGTAGAGGTCTGTAAGGAACGGTAATCTGAATAAACACACATATGGAAGGAAACCCAGATAATAATAATAATAATAATAATAATAATAATAATCTAGGTGGACAGGGGCATATTTCGAACATATTCTCTTGCCGAAGGAGATACCCCCAGAAACTCCCCAGATGAAAGACAGTCACCCATCCTCCTACCCTCCGCAGCCAACGTTGCTTAACTTCGCCTGATTTGTGACCAGTGCGGTGTACATAATGTACCACTTATGTGGAAGTTATCGACAGTTATCGATCGAAAAGCGGGTTTTCAGAGAATTTCACAATGTGTGCTTATGAAACTGAGACACAAGGAAGGGGCCATCATTTGAACTGTATCCCTTTCTTGCAGAAAAGATAAATTACGTGAGGTAGGAAAGAGCCAAAAAATCAAATCTTTGCACAGAACCAGATCTTTACCCCTAAGGCGACACACGATGTGGATCCCTACTGACATTTTTAAGGCATGATTATTAAACGTTTTTCATTAATTCTATTTTCAAAACAATCCCAGAATACTTTTGTTCCTGTTTCTGTACAATCTTAGGACAGTGGAATAGGTATTGAGAGAAATCATAGTCGATTGAGAGTTTCTAGCAAACCTATTTTTCGTACGTTTTCACTGTTAACAAGATGCCGCTGGATAAACAACGCACCTGCTACAATTACCACGAAACAATACAAGTTACACAAGTCAGCCCCAAGTGTCGTTTCAGGGACGGTTCCATGGACACTAACATCACTTTATAACTTTAGCGGTCATTTTGGCCACTGAATCCTCAATTTTATCGACTTTCATGTGAAACCGCATCTGGTCTGTGGTAACAGTATGTCTTTGTGTCAAGTATAAATTACTCATTGATTTTGTTTAGGGAGTACAATTCATCATACTTTTTCAAAAATGTCTACATTCTATAAGTTTCAAAAAGTTATATTTACAAGTTTAAGATATTTTACAAATGAAACAAAAAACTCACCGGTATGAATATACGTGTGCTTTTTCATGTCGGACTTTTGATGGAATCGTTTACCACAGTAGGGGCAGGGGTAGGGTCGAGTGTCACTGTGTATCAACATGTGAGTGGATAGGGTTGAAGACCTCTTGAACGACTTGCCGCACTCTTTACACGAAAATGTCCTTTCCTTAGGTTCGGAGAGACCCCCCGACATGGACTTGGACCCCATGTCGCTGGAGTGAACGGAACTGTCAGAGGGCGAAGAGTCATCGTGGCCCCGGCAGCGCGCACAGTTACAAGGATGGATGTCATCTTGACGGCCGATGTCGTGAAATGACGGCGTGTGCAGAGGATCCGGAAGCAGACCTGGTTTCGGCAGAATCTGCATCTCGTGGTCAAGTGTCAGCCATGACAGGAAGTCGCCAAGAAACTCACGCAGATATTTGGTTTCTTTGATTCGGACACAGTTGTCTGGCTTGTCCAATGAGCCTGGAAATCAGAAAGAAAATCATTCCGTTATTTTACACGCGTCGATATTTTTTTAGACACTATTTGACAATAACATACCCCCCCCCCCCCCCGTCTGTTGTACTTTCAAACTCCCCCCTTTACACAAGGTATGACTACGAAGATTTTAATTTAATATTACATTTCAGAAAACTTTCAAACATTTCCAGACGTGATCAAACGGTTGACAATTAGCCTTTTGTCTTTCGAACACTTTTGATCATCTAGCATTATCAAGTACATTTTTAGGGCTCAACTCAGTGGGGTTGATATTTCCAACTTAAAGAGAAAAAAACTTTCTGTAGGTTGTTGTATGATCCAGCACGCTATATTATCCATTTTTAGTACCAATAGATTTGAAGGTACTGTTAAGTAAACTATTATTATAAATACAGCACTATCTGAAAAATGTAAGTAAATAACATTTTACTTATCAGAACCCAAATGTCAATTTGTCGAAATATGGTCCTTAGATAATGTGACTGTATTGTAAACAAAGCATCGTGCATGTAAACTGTCTGTCTGTGCAGTTCTGAATCATTTTGAAGTAACTACCAGAGCATGTCCAAAAAAGAATATACACTTTAACATTCCTTGAACAAAACTCATTAACAACGTCTCCATCAACAACTCCAACACCAACACCAACACCAACACCCACAACCACAACCACAACCACATCCACACCCACAACCTCATCCACATCCACATCCACAACCGCAACAACTACATCCACACCCTCAACCACAACCACACTAACACCCACACCCACAACCACACCAACACCCACAAGCACACCCTCACCCACATCCACAACCGCAACCACACCCACACCCACATCCACACCCTCACCCTCACCCATACCCCTACCCACAACCACACCCACAACCACATCTACACCCTCACCCTCACCCTCACCCACAACCACACCCTCACCCACAACCACAACCACAACCAGATTAACACCCACAACAACGCCAACGCCAACGCCAACAACCACATCCACATCCACACCCACACCCTCATCACACCCACATCCACAACCACACCCACAGTCTCACCCTCACCCTCACCCTTACCCTCACCCTCACCCTCACCCTCACCCTCACCCACACCCACGCCCACACCCACGCCCACGCCCACCCCATCTCCACCAATACCATTCATCCAGAACGAAAGATTATATGCAGTGGCCATGACATAGTTTAAGACCTTACCAGAATAATGACAACGACGTGGGCGTATTTTTGAGATATTTCATCATATCAGTTTCATTTGATTTATAGAGTCTTAAATATCTAATTCTACCATTCTATCATGCATTAATATGTAACAATATGTAATACTCTATGTAACAATACAGAGCGTGCCATACATCTGGAGAACTGTTTCTAACAGAGCAACATGAACAGCTCCACATCTAGCGAACGTGTTGAACCTGACGAGCATTTAATATTCACATATGTTCGTTTTATCTGTAATGAATGCACATTCACTGTGATGGCACGATTTGCCCATCAAATGACAATGCACTTGGTCGATGTTGGTTTACAATCATTCAAGCAGACGGTCCAACAATGGCATCACAAACCCATGAAGCAATAACTCAAAGTTACTGAAGAGCCCATTTTCGGGGAATTCATTTCATAAATATTTCCTGGTCACGCGCGAAGCGTCAAGTCTGTCTCAATCTGTGTTTCTAAATCATGACACTCAGGAATCTATTTTATTCTCCGCTGTTTTCAGATTCTATTGAAAAAGCCCTTGTCTCTTAAAACAGTCGCATTCAATACGACAGCCTTCTCGGAGATGCCCAAGGGAACTGCGCATGCGTCAGACAACGTCCCGACAATCAAGCAACCGGAATCGATTTTAAGTTATTCATGATGGTCTCCGACCTATGGAACTTTAGGTGAAAGAGCAAGTTCCCTTAACAGTTTAAACAAAGGAATAACCTTAAGAGATCCGAGATTGCAATAGCCTTAAGGCTTGGCAATGGTTATGGTATCGGGGGACTTTAAATATATAATAATACTGATACAGATATAGCGGGCCCAGTGGAATTTCATCCTCAATGCGTCTCTCATGGGGTCTTGAAGTTGGGCGCCAGTTTGGGTCCTTGACTGTTAATTTAATAATGACGTCGCCATGCCGCCCCCGACGCGGTTTAGAAGGGAATATTAACTGTGGATAAAGGGAATTGTCCTACATGAACCGCGATTTTTAGCAATCAGAGGAAATCTCGCTTGTGGTGCTAGAGGGTACGTTGGTAATTCCCAGTTGCTTAAAAATGCGTTTCAGATCGGTAAAAAGCCGTAAAGGTGTGACTGTAAGAATTCGCCTTTTATCACTGCTTGTGGCAGAGGTATTGGGTGGCAAGTCTGTCTGCGGAAACGGTAGTGACAAGTCATGGGTTTTATTTGGTGTTTTTGCATCAGGATGGTTTTAATGATTAAGTCGACACATCCGTTTGGTGCAAATGTAGAGGCTTAGGAATCTAGAAACGCGTTGGTGAATGCAGACTGTAGGTTGCCAAGACCTAGTTTAATGCTGTATGATCATCATTGCAGTTTGCACATGTCTAATTTAAGTTGAATTTTGGTTTAATGACAAGGTGTATTTAAACAATAACAGGTGAACACACTGGCATACGACTGAATATAAAGAATGAAACAGAATGTGTCATTTCTAAAATTCGATGCTTTTTGAAAATGTAAGCACTCAGTTATTACATTTGTATCGTCAGTTTTCATCATTACATTTCATGCACTACAGCCAAGTCAGAAATGTCGATAAGTCGGTATTCCTACAAATATGAGTGAAGTGTTTCAGTTGGTACAACGGATAGCGACTGTTAGGGTAGCGGGACGAGCTGTGTTATGTGTGCTATTGTCGTACCTGTGTCGTTTTCATTGAATGAGGGGGGTTTTCTGTCGCTGTGCCATTTCGAGGACTCCTCTGTGAAAGACGGGGTCACATCTGCTATCAGGGAGGCCACATCGAAGGGGGTTCGGATTCGAGATTTCGGTGGAGGAAAGGTTACGCGATGAGCTTCATCTGAAATGGAGAAGAAAACCAGATATTTAACTGAAGCATATTGATGAAGAAAACCTGATATATAACTGAAGCATGTAGATGAAGAAAACCTGATATATAACTGAAGCAGAATGATGAAGAAAACCTGATATATAACTAAAGCATTGTGATGAAGAAGAAAACCAGATATATAACTGAAGCAGAATGATGAAGAAGAAAACCTGATATATAACTGTAGCAGAATGATGAAGAAAACCTGATATATAACTGAAGCATGTAGATGAAGAGGAAAACCAGATATATAACAGAAGCATGTAGATGAAGAAAACCAGATATATAACAGAAGCATGTAGATGAAGAAAACCAGATATATAACTGAAGCATGTAGATGAAGAAAACCAGATATATAACTGAAGCATGTAGATGAAGAGGAAAACCAGATATATAACTGAAGCATGTAGATGAAGAAAACCTGATATATAACTGAAGCATTGTGATGAAGAAGAAAACCAGATATATAACTGAAGCATGTAGATGAAGAAAACCAGTTATATAACTGGAGCAGAATGATGAAGAAAACCAGATATATAACTGTAGCATGTAGATGAAGAGGAAAACCAGATATATAACTGAAGCATGTAGATGAAGAAAACCAGATATATAACTGAATCAGAATGATGAAGAAAACCAGATATATAACAGAAGCATGTAGATGAAGAGGAAAACCAGATATATAACAGAAACATGTAGATGAAGAAAACCAAATATATAACTGAAGCTAAAGATGAAGAGTAAAACCAGATATATAACTGAAGCATGTAGATGAAGAGGAAAACCAGATATATAACTGAAGCATGCAGATGACGAAGGACCTGATTACAATCAAACTTTATGGTTATTCAGTTTTACATTTTTCATGAGCGAAACACACAAAGTCACTATGTTTTACAATTAAGTAATTTAGGGATCTTGAGCTGCTTTTAACAAAATGTATAATATTAAATAGTTCCTAAATGACATGCAGTGAGTGAATGCTGTTTTACGCCCTAGTAAACATTGTTACAGCAATATCACGGCGATCGAAGGTAATCGATTCTGGACCAGACAAAGTAGTGATTGATAGCATGAGCAACTATCTACATCGTCGGTGCCAGTATCACCCAATTTACACAATCTAACCGGATCCGTTACATTTACATGAAGGCTTTTTAGACAAACACGATGCAACTGGGACCTATTCTCCTTCAGTATACTACTAATTCACATGATTCAATATATCTTTTAATGGTTTTTGTTGTGTAAATGGATGTTTTTAAATCAGTCATTAGAGATAGTCATACAGACATTGTTCTGTCGGAACGAAGGATGAAAGACGATAATCCTGCACGGTCTGCACAACGTTTTTGTCTTTTATTGTTATGAAAACTGTTCTATTTATTTATTCATGCCTCCGTGACATCAACGGAAGCTGCACACAATAGGAAAGTCAAGGGGTAATCTACACAGACACATGACGATTTCCAAGACAAAAGACGCTTCTGTCTTACGCTAACTCACGTATTGATCACAGCGCCGACACACCTCCTAGACAGCATATCTACAGATTTAAGTCACCCCCAGGTCAATTAATGTATACAATAAATGTCTGAGTATTCTCTACGGTTTCAGCTTCCGCCAGCACATTTGGACGACCCGCAAAAGAATAACCAGCCATCCAAAAACATAGGCGAGAACGACACCTTGGGAACGCCACTTACAGCCAAACAACGACGGAGCAAGAGTCACGCCTTGCCGCTTCCCGGGTACAGCGGTAATTATCTTCAACAAGCTCTTACTCATTTATTATGTATGGTGACCAATGCCAACTGACCAGCGCTACAGTCCAGTGCTTTGGCCGAGACCACATGGTTACTACTGGACAAGGCAGGATCCGTTCCCCAAAGCGATCTAAGCTTTGAGACGCGTACGGTCGCAGTGTTAACATCGCTTTGGGGACGAGGGCAGAAGATGTTAAATGTTATTGTGTATGTATATTCCTGTTAAGGTGGACACGGGTGGGTCAGTCGTCTGGGGCGCAGCATTTCTCTGGGCAGAGTTGCGTCCCTTTGACATGCCAGAAACCTGATTATGTTTCTGGTTTGTCAGGACCATACCCTGTACGCGTGGATTTCCCCAAAGTAGTAAACGTCCAAGACCACCATCCGGCTGTCCTCACTCACTCACTCACTCACTCACTCACTCACTCACTCACTCGACATGCATATGGTCTCCCTGGATCGAATCTCTCTGCTTAATCTCTCTTCGATTTCAATACGCTGTGTTCTGCTCTGCCCTGCTCTCCTTTGCTCTGGATGCTCTGGTTAGCATTTACATTTAATAGGAAAATAAGGTGGGGTAAATGGGGTTTAAAGTACAAGACTATTGCACTGATATAGCGACGTGCACGCACGTGTGTGTGTGTGGCTGTTTGTACTAGTCCGGACTGATGTTGATTTTATAGTGCTAGCCCACTGAGATACTATGCCGCAGTTTAACATGAATACCCCACTCTGACACAGTATACTGACTCCGAGCTGACCAGTCCTTGTTGTAGCCCCTTAATGCCGAGCGCCAGACAGGGTAACAACAAGTACCATCTTTTAACGTCTTTTGTTATGACGCGGCTGGGGATCAAACCCCAAACCTTCCGCTCTCCGGGCGGACGTTCTACCACTAGACCACGGAGGCGGTCAGTAGGAGCATAACACAAAGAACATGGAACAATACGTGTTCACGTTCATTTTACACAACTTATTCAATCTTATTTTAGCGTGAACAAAACATTTTCACCGATGACAAGCAATTTGGTGTTGAATATATGAATTCATAATGTATTTATAAATTAATTTCTAAAGCACTGTCTGGTTTAAAGCGCTAGTTGCTGCGTGAAGTTCAATGGTACGTGAAGGACAGCAACAATGCGTCATGTATTGCTATTCACTGACTTACAGATGCTTATTGTTAAATGAAACAATATGTGCTTATTATCGCATGGTTTATTCATGACATGCAAAGCTATTATCTTCATGAAAATAATTCACGGTAACAATGACTGTTCCAGGACATGGGGGCAATAGTCATCATTGATCTATTTTAAGTGGCAGCCACACGTACGGGCTGACACATACATAAACACTATAATTCTCCCTAATCTATATAACCTGGAGAGCAAGAGAAACTACACCGCTCTGTTGATTTTGTCGTATGTTTGATTTTTAAATGAAAATATCTTCAGTATAGTAATAGTTTATCCAAAGGAATAACTGTACTGGCGCTTAGTCAGCACTCAAAGAATACTTCTACATGTTTATTTTAAAAACCTAATTTGATTTAAAACTTTTAAAAATTAAAATAAATGCCGATGAATATCTCAGACATTTTATTTTTGAAAATCAATAAATTTGCTTTTTTCCGACACAAATTCAAACGTGGGGTCATGTGGTTGCAAATTCATTTCCTACTTTCCAGTCTTCATTCAAGTAATTTATTTTTATTTCGAACAGCTGTAATCTTGTGTATTTCTATTGCAAACCCTTGGGAGCAGGGGCTGCTACCATCTATATGCATACAGAACATTTTAAAATTTAGAATCAATATAATTGATATAAACTGCCGGGGGAAAAGAAAGTATACACTTGAAATTGGATTGACGAACAAATTACAAATGTTATCAAAACGTTACTAGGCTGAACTTACGGTCCGAAAAACAGCTATGATATCAAATACACATCCATCAAGTAACCATTTCTTGTTTGTTTGTTTTTTGTTTCAGTTTTAGCCGGGCATTGAACATTATGACGTCTTGGCCGACGCTTACCATAGTGAACGGAAGCTAGAACCACACCTTTGACCACCACTGGCCATACAGTGACCAGTGAGTAAATGGATGTTGTTTAAAGCCGCAGCTAGCAATTGTCCAACTTTTTCACAACGGCTTGTAAAAAATTGAGTTTGGACTGCGGTCGCTTTTCGAAAGTGGGACAATATCACAAATTTCATTATCCCATCACTTATTAATCCTCCATTTAAATATATCTGAACTGTTATTATTGTTTCGATGTGTTAAAACCCTGAAATGTGTATTTTGTACGATGGCAAACGCGCAGGTTTACCCAACATCAACCTGTTAAACTGCTCCCTTAAGTACTGCTGCAGGATTTTCCAAGTCTCACGTGCTGCATGAATTGCAAGTGCAGCTGCACAATGACTGCACAGATTAAATGGCGATGTTTAATTAGACGAGAGCTTGGCGTGGAAAAATGACAATCAAGGAATCAGTATCATTCTTATCATTATATAATTAATAAAACAATCTCTAGGTGTATATTATTGGCATTGACGTATAGTTTCTGTCTACAGTGGATGTGGAATGGGTACACTGTGTTTGATTATTTGTTATTTATATCACGATAATGTGACCAATTAATAAATAAACATAACATGCAATATGTGTTTTAATGGCCACGTGTTACAATAGCACAAAGCGACTTTCCAACTGACGCGAGATTTATATATTGGCACAGATATATATTTCAGCACAAATAGCTTTTAATCTTAAAAATATTTAACGTGTGTTTGTGTAACAGATTGTACAATTAACATAGGTGAAGCATTTACGAAACCAATATTCTACTAGGTATTACTTATTAATTATAATACAAGAAACTATCAGTGTACTTAGAAATGTAATATATCAATGATATTATTTGTCTGTTTTGGTCGAAAATAAGTAGATAATAAAAGCTGGTAATTCTCAGTACTATTAATATGGATTGCATTTACCGTGTCCCTTTTCAAATTCCCTACATAATGAAACGAAACTCACAGCTGGAGATCTGTAAAAATGTAGATGAGCCATTTATATTGTAATAATACTTTCAAAGCATGATTGACGTAAAATAACTGTATCTAACAGTGCGTGACCGTAAGTGCAAATCAGTTGTAAGTGAAGTGTATCAATGAATAACATGACTACCAGTCTC